GAACATAAAAGTGTCCCTTAACAGCTCACCCTGAGAATTGGAGAATAAGCTTCTCTTTAACCTTTCATCTGATCTGTTTGTCTTCTGCTTATCCATGCCTGTCACTCTAAAACGCACACACACACTCGACACACTGAGTTCATCCCTTAAGCTGAAGGTTTATGAATAAAACTTGCATCAACTTAACGAACTTACAATGGGTTTGTGTTGCTGGGGGGATTAATAGAAACCTCAAATGAACTTTGATGGACAGCAAACACAGAGACGTTTCAGAAGTGAATGTGAAAGTGCATTTCCTGTCATCTCTATAACCAAATATTCAGTCACATTGTACAAATGGCACGCAGAATTGTGAGCAGTAACTAAGGAAAGGTTGAAAAACCACTCAGGAAAAACTTCAAAAAGCATTGTTTATCTGATTAACCCAAAATCCAGGCCTATATAAAGTAGGAGGCAATTTTGAATCACTGGAGAACAGCAAATTTGTACAGAGAATTGTGTTTCAATCCTCCAAGGTCCTCCAAAGAATCCAAGAATTCGACAAAATCCCCATGTCCATGAAAAACTGTTTGTTGCATATATTTTTTTAAGCTTCCTTTTTGTGTGTGAGACTAAGGGAGAGCAATAAAAAGCAGCCATTTGAGGAGATTATCAGGTCTTATTAGGTGTGTGGTCCCCCCCCCCCCCCACCCACACACACAAAAAGAATAAACAGTGTTTCTGCTTCCCTCAATATCTATCAATATTGAGGTACTGCTGTCCTGTCACTCATTTGAGCTCATAATGGATGATACTTTATAACCCATTAATTGTATTCCATTTATCTCCCTGGTGCTTAATAGTGTTTCTCTTCGGAGAAAAGCACAAACCTTTGTTTCTCGCGGTGAAAGTGCCGTGCGAGGTCATTGGTGACATCCGAATGAATCCGAATAATAATAAGGCGAGGAGGGAGGGGGCACAGCGGGGTCATTAAGTTAACAAGTCATATCCAAAGTTAATGGTATGAAGCTTTGTTCACGTTCCTTGCTTGTTGTCGTCGGCCCCTTGTTTTTTTTTCTTCTTTTTTATCATTAGGGAAATGAGACTCTCTGCCTTTAACTCCAGGTTTGAATAAATTAGTCATCTCAAATTAAAAGCAAACCGTCATGATAAAAAAGGACGGGGGATGAATAGTTGCACCGTGCTGGTGACGTATGCAGATGAGTTTCAGAAATATGCAAATAGGGAGCGTTGATGTTCTTTTTTTTTCCCATGGAGGTCAAATCACAGTAAATGGCTGAGGGCAGCGCTGTCTGCTCTCCACCCGCCCAGGAGTCGGTGTATTAGCCGCTCTGACCCCCCTCCAAATATCCTCCATGCCTATTTCAAACTCTATCCTCCCCGTGCTGCACTTTCTCTCCCCCCCCCCCCCGTCACAGGGTTTCAGCTGCAATTACTTTTAGTATCACTTCTCAGTGAGAAGTCAACTTCCCTGGAGGCTCCCTATCAGAACCTATTACAGCAGGGGGGCAGGCTGAAGTTAAGTGGCATGACCTGTGGGTTGGATGGAGCAGAAGGAGGAGGGGGGGGGATAAATGTATGGCTAATTTGTGGAACATTTGAATAAAGGGACGAGGACTGTGACAGGACCAGTGAGAAGTCCGACGATGGCCAGGAGTAACGTATCACGGAATCGTTTTAGAAAGATGAAATGTTCGAATCTGTGCAACTCAGAAGAAAGATATTTACATTTTTTACTTTTTGCAACCGCTGCTGAAGGCCCGTATTTAAAAAAAATCATTCAGTTGAGTGGGTTGACTCTCTTATTGACTTTATTTTATCTAAACGTTCAAATGTTTACCTTCTTTTGCCCCTAATTCACCTTCTACCCCCCCAGGGCCAAACCCATCGCCCCATGAATGACCACACACACACACACACACACACACACACACACAGGCAGACGGAGCAATGCGAAGAAGCTGCAGCTGAGGTAGATCAGCAGAAGGGGGCGAGGAGCAGTTGAGGCGGCTAATTCAACCACAGTTACCCGTGTGTGTCTGCGTGTGTTCGCGAAAGAGTCTTAAGGTGCAATCTTGTGCAATCTCTCGCCCCGGGTCACACATGTGTACTTTTAGCACCAACGCGCCGAATCAGCCACCCATCTCTGTGATTGATGAGCTGAGGAGATGCGTCGCGCTGCACACCTGGGATCCTTATGCAAACCCAGGTGAGGCCTCGGCCATTGAGACAGAGAGCGAGACGGAGGAAAATTAAAACAATCGAGGAAGTTCTCTCGCGGTAAACGCACACATATGGCAAACTGGTATGTTCAGATGCACAATAGTGGTCTACAAACTCTTCACACAGATGTCAAATTCAGTTGTTAATACAATGCAGTGCTTTTCAGCAGGTGGTGAAGAATGAAAGGATCATCATCAGGGGAAGCCTGATCTAAAGTCCTATCCAGTGGACTTGACCCACCTTGTGTTGATGCTGAATATTGGAGTGCCGTATTTGAGTCGTACAATCTTAGCAGTGTGTTACTGGCCCATTGAAAATAACACATTTCTATTAAACAAACCTTTTTCTTTTTTTTTTTTTTATTCGAAACTTGAGAAAACAGGAGCAGCCCACTGGGGTCCCCACATGGATGTCTACGTAGCCGGCGTGGCTTTTAGATTTTTGTCGATGACACGTGAACACAAAGTGTGAGTGTTCACATTCACCACGAGAGGAAAATACACACTTCCCTCCTTCACATCCACAGGACAAACTTTACTGTTAGCGCGTGCTGAAAACAACCCCAGCCCTCCGCCCTCACCCCCCCTCCCCCTCCCCTGTCCGTCGCATCCATTGCTCACACACTCATGTAATTGCAATAGACAATCAGATGCCATCTTTACGGGCGCATGGTACAACTGTCACAAAGTGTAAGGCGCCAATAAAGCGCGGCCGATAAGTCCTGTCAAAAGAGCTTACGACGCGCTAACGCCGCCCTCACCACCACGCGGCGCCGATTGTTCCACCCAATCAGTCAGCGAAGGAGACGGGGAGGAGGCCCGTTGCGAGCAGATGTCACGGCCGATGCGCTTCCCTCTCCCTGACGTTGTTAATAAGAGTTAACGAAAGGTGGTGGCGACTGAGTGGGTGGCATCGGAGGTCGTCTTTGTAACGCGGCCGGGGCTCAAGGTGACGGAGGTGTTGGGAGGCGACGAGGAAGAGTCCAGGTCACAGAGAACGTTACGCAACGTTACGTTTGGTGTTACTGGAGACATTTAAGGTGACGGTAAAACGTTGGAGGGGACTAATGACGATGACCTGCAACAAGGGTCCTGGGCTGAACGTTCCATCCATAATGTCAGTGTCCAAGGCCCACAAAGTATTGTGATCCTAGTAGGGATGGACCAGGGGGTCGTTGAGCTACTACTGCAGACCAGTACACAAAGCCTCTCTGGTAGTGATGTTGGATCAGGCCCATTCCGTCATTTATTATTCATTCTCTGTTATAAGGATTGTGCAGACCCTCCGGCCTGTACTCCTGTTATTTTTGTGGTTGCTGATTCGTTGGTTTACATGGTCTTAGTCAATGAATCACTGTGAAATACCATTGTCACGTAAACTCTTAAAAAGCACCAAATCACAGAGTTTAATGGCTTTTTAAAGCATCGACACCTTAAGAAGGTATTTCTGTAGTCTGGACTGCAGCAGTCAATGATTGCAGAAACTCGTGACATCAACCTGCAAGGTGGTTTGCTAGTAAACATGTAATATTCACAAAGCCGTTTCTTCAGCTTTTTCGACCCGAAGTCATCAGCAGACACTGACTATTTGACCTTTGACCTCCGCCTCACCAGGCGGCGAGTGGAGGTTAAAGATCAGCCCACTGCCGCGGGGGAGGACACAGTTGGTAAAGTAGCTGGGTCCTGAGCGCTTCCATTTAGGTACCCCACCCCCCCCCCCCCACCCGGAGTGTCGCTCCGCTGGCCTTCAGAGGATGGTGGGAAGGTCGCCTCTAATTGGTGCCTGTGTCCTGGTTACCTGCTGTGACCTCATCACTGTGTGTGGCTTTGGGTTGGATCAGGAAGGATCCGACCGCGTGTGAGAGCGTACGCCGCGCCAGAGATCCTGCCAACGGGGGACCGGTCATCTGCGGATGTCTTAATACGTTACAAGCACTTGTGAAAAACTGAAATACACGAAAACAGTGATGAGGTCACAGAGCAATCAAGACCAATCAGCAAATTCAAATGGCTCAACTTGGATTAAGTCCTCTCAACACACAGTAGGTGCTGATGAGTTGTTACGGAGTGCTGGAATATAAAGTGAAAAAGTCCAATGGTGAAGCTGATTTAATGAACACGACATCAAGAATAAATAGTAACAATTTCAAGGAAGGAATGTTCAGCAACCTTCATATCGATTTATTTGAGTGGAGGTCTTTTTCTCATCACACTTCCTATTTAAATTGAAATCTTACCCCTCAGCTTTTTTTAAAATTTGTAAACCGCTTTTACTTTTGGCTGTGTGTTAAACAGGCATCTACAACCCAGATAATGAGTGATTTAATGAACATAGCGTCGTATTGAACAGCATTCAAAAGCACTGCCAACCAAGTGGATGCACATTTCTTATAGATTATTTTACAAGAAAAGAAATTTCTACTCTCTAAATCGTAAAAGGTATTTATAACCTTGCTTGGTCTGTAACCATGGCAACACTACAGATAAAAGTCATTAAAGAACAATTTGTTCAGCTGCGGCTTCGTTGAATTCTTCTCACAATGTACAACCGTCGAAACCGCGCTGCGACCAAATGTTAACACAACCGAGCGCACAATGGCTTCTTTAATGGAGGACATCGTAAAAAGGGCCCCAACTAGTCACAAGGGCTCCTCAAATGACTGCGAGCTGTTTTTATCCTCCCCATCTTCACATGCCAACACACAGCAAACAGCATTAACAGAACTGCACTGAACTCTTGTCTGCCTCACAGAAAAGAAGAAGAAATATGCAGAGAGGTCAGGGGTCATGAGCTGTGTGTCTTTTAGATTTATTAGGATGAACATCATGGTGACATTGGACAAAAAAACAACAACACAGAAGCTACAAAACTGCTTGGATGAGGGAATTAAAGAAGGAGCTAAAAGAAGAGAAGACAGTGAACAACAAAAACTTTGGTGCAAACACAATGTCACTTTCCTGCTTGAGTGTACACGTTTCCTTTACAATGTAATTTAATTCCCCACTGCTCTCAGTCTACTTGTTAGCTCCATAATGTGAACGTACAGGATGCGCCGCCGAGGCCTGTTAATGGTGCTAATAGCAAACATCCAGCCAGCAGCAGTGAGGCTTTGGGAGGCACGGATCATTGTTCACATGTCACGAAAAGATCCCTCGGCCTCTGGGTGCTCTTTTTCCTCTCTCTCTGCTCCTCCCCCCCATCGCTCGCTGCCTCCCTTCGTCCTTCTCTCTCTCTCTCTCAGCCCCGTGGGAGCGCGAGGGTTGAAATGACACACAGTGGCTGACTGTCGCCCGGGGGCCCCCCGGTTCTGGCCTTGGCTGGCTGGATCTGTGTGGCAGCTGGTGAGCCCGCTGCCCTCCCTCTGGCCTGCAGCATCAACAGTGGTGGTAGTGGGACTGATTGGAAGCCTCACTCTGATCTCTGACTCTGGGGCTGACGCTCAAGTGCTCACTGCTGCCCACACGGCTGGTGGCAGGGGAAGTGGATGCAATCAGGAACACACACACACAGACACACTCAGTTCTCCAGTGGAATGTGAAAGGCATAGAATCCTGAGATCATCGGCGTGCAGAGGAAGGACTGTGCTCATTACGGGGTTGTGCTGTTGAAGCAGCAAACACACGTATTTGGGTAAAACGTATTGATATGTCCTAAAGGAGGCGGCCCGCACTAGAGACACGACGTACCAGCAGGAAGGTGACATCTCTTCTACCTGTGAGAGCATGTTCAAGGCTCGGAATAGACTAAATAAAATCACCATTTATAAATAGAAACACGCTGGAAGCCGTTTCCTGCAACCCGTACCGCCTTCTCTTTGAAAGCAACCGGACAATCTTAAAAACACAAAAACAACACAACAACACAAAAGGTTCAACTGTATAGTTTCACAGGCTTTGCTCTCCACATGATGAATAAAAGGTTAAGACACCAAACTGCTGATGACATGTAATCAATGAGTTAAAGTCAACACCCAAAGGCACCGGAGCAATGAAATGATTGCACACTGATTGTTTTGTAATAAGACTACGAACTGAACTTGATTTTTATTAGTAAGCAATCCTTCAATGGAGTTTCAGTGCTGCCTGCACTTAAACTGCTGGGTAAGATTCTGCTGTCAAACCGACCACCGTCGATCCGAGACGCACGCGGGCGATTTCAGATTAACCACCGGGGCAAAACATAAAAGGCAGGAATCATGGTATGAAAAACAGCATGTGGAAAGGTGTTAAGGGTGATGATTTGAATTGGGAGGTTGCTGGGAGGATGGGAGGGGGGCGGGGGGGGGGGGGGGGGGGTTGGAGGGTCTCAGTGGTGTTTGCTGCTGTAAATTTTGTTCCTGAGCACAACTACGGGGGGAAGCGGGTGGCGGATGCCCGGGTAGTGCTGAATGTGGTCGAACCATCGCGTCACATTCACGTACTGCTCCTTCTCCTGGACGGCCAAGTCCACCTGAGGGACAGATGATGATGATTATTATTATTATTATTATTAACCCATTTCATGTACAGCACACACAGCTGTGAAAGACACACAGCATCCTGCTTTAATACTGGATGAAATGTCCTATCCAGACTGGATTAAACGTAAACAAAAATGATTCCCCCGGATCACAATAAGTGACCACACAGAAACCAGAACCCGCTGGTAGAAACTTCACAATATATATAATCTATCATTTCATTTCACAGGGTCACAAGCAACTTTGGGTCAAACATTATTTCCCTGATATTCATCAACAAAAAACTCCTAATAACAGAAAGAAATGATGTCTTATCAGACGTGCGCCTTTTCATTACCTCGTTAACCGGAACAGGGAAATTCGCCAGACAATCCGGCCTAAAACCGCGCGACCATCAGTCCGGCTCAACGTCTGTGTCACGCCGTTCTCCCGCAATTGAACATCAGGACGGGCCGTGGTTCAGGGTCGGGCTGGCTGACCTTTGTCCCCGAGGTTCAAAACCACACTGATTGCGAACTAAAGTGACGCTATTCGGCCCGGTGGCGGTGCAGAGGGGGGGGGCTTCCATCTCCGCCACAACCACTGACATATCTCAACATGTGATCTCTCCCTCCCTCCGTTACCGAACTTGCTTTCTTTCAGCACTGGAAGGCATAACAAACTCACTTGTCCCTGGTCTGAGGCTAAAGACATCACTTTGTGCCACTTCGCTTCAGTTCTCCGGAGAGAAGTGAGACGTGTTTATAACCCGCGTGTTCATCGCCAACTCGTTCCCGATGGCCTTTGGCCAAATGACTGGTCTAATTGTGTGTCACGCACAGTGACAAATTGCTTATTAAAGTTGTGGTTTGATTGAAGTGAGCACTGATGGGGGGGGGGGGGGTGGAGAATCGTACAGAGAGACAACGAACCAATCGCAATTGTGCAATCAGACTTTGGAAAACTTCCATTCAAAGTTTTTCTCACACGTTTAAAGTCTCATTTTTATTACACACACACACACACATTTGAGTGTAAAGTAAGTGAAACTTACTATGAGCGGATGGATTCCATAGAACATGAACGTGTCCGCTAAGGTGAACTGGTTTCCAGCCATGTAGACTTTGTCCTGCAGGTAGAGGTTGAGGTCCTGCAAGACAATACAGCAAATTGGGTCAATTTGTATATTAGGACATGCATTTCTCTGTAAACACACTGGTGAATACATTACTTGGGGAGAACATTTTACTTATATGAATATAGAGCCAATAAAGACTCATTTAAAACAGCGGGTGCAGCCGTTGTGGATTTTTGCTATTTCTATTTCTTTACAACATGCTACTCTCCTGACCTGAAGGGGTTATGCATGACAGCAGGATCGTTAACCTACATATCTGTGGGTGCGTGATGTACACAAAGTGTGTGTGTGTGTGTGTAAGAATGCTATTTAACCTTCGGGGCTTTAACATCTCTCCCCATGACTGGCGACTCCGCACAGATGCTGTACACAACGGGCCAGTTGTTTACTTCGCTAGCAAATGTCTACAACTCTGGCTTGCAGATCCGAATGGAGCCGCCCTGAACTCGTGCGCCTCTCGGCCGGCCGTCTGTGCGAAGTCGTGCGTGGAGGCGCTGGTCCCGGGGGAAGGCGCCGTCTTTAGCACTTGTACGCCGGGCGAAGGGGACGCGCCGCGCACACAGAGCATCTTGGGGGCAAATGGAGTCATTGTGCGGCAGGAGTGGGTGATGCCAAACAAGGCATGAAGACTGCAGACTTCCTCCCCGTGCACAATCCGAATCCTGGCTTTTCTTAGCCTACAGCCATGGAGCTGAAGCCCAGTCGAGCATCAGAGGAGAGGCAGCCTCCCCGACCCCCCTCTCCCCCAGCGCACATGCAACTACGAACCTGGGCACCGCTCCGCCTGCCCCCGCCTAACGTGTGCACACCTAGTAGAGCGTTGGGAAGAAACCATGCTTAGCAAAAAGTTTGTAACGGAATTTAGTTTTTAAAGATGGAAATGGAGATAATGAGAAGCTAGGTACATTCATACTGTAGCAATTCCTTGTGTTCCTTTGCGCTCATTTCTTTCGAGAGTGAATTTTCCGTAGCTGCTGCTGTCATGATCGACCGGACATTATTTTCTACCCAGATAACGTGACCTCACATCGAGTTTAGCATCCCAACTCAACGTCGTAGTGCTCTCGGGGATACAGGCCTCCATTACTGTTGGCAGGTCAAAAACCGTGGGAATGAATCCTCAATACCATTAAATGCCTGCGTTGAAAACATGTCAAATTATGGTCATTGTTTTCTAATTCTTTCACATTAGTGCTGCAAAAACATATAACAGTCATAAATGTGAAATTGAGTCTGTAATGCAGCACAACGTTGGTGGTCTCCTTTGACTAAATATTTATGAACAGGAAGGCCTGACTGGTTTAACGTGGGTTGACAGACGATCATTCACAAACTATCTTTGTGTTCAGGGCCGAATTTGACCGCCAGCGCTCGTCATCACATTACACGAGTGACAAGACGCTCGCTTCACTAACAGGTTTGTTATTTGCGTCCTGGGGTGAGAAAGTTTAAGAAGTCTTGCTGTTGACAGTTGTCCCCCCTCCCGCCCCCATATTCTTTTATTTATTTAGTATCCACGGATAATTTAATGGGAGATGACTTGGATGGAGGGGAGGGGGGGGCGGCACCGGGCAGGCACCAGAACTCCGCTGCTCAGGGCGACTTCCTTCTGTAAGTGGCACCATTAAAATATTTAAGAGGCCTGTCCAGGAAACACGCCGCCGCACAGCGCGACTCCTCGGAGCGCGCGGACACGCAAATAGGCAAAAAACAAAAAAAACGCACACTTCAACGCTGACGCGACCGGTGCCCGAGAGGCGCCGATCCACTTCACGCTGACTGGCACATTAAGGCGGGTTTTCTCTGCTGCGTGGGGGCCGTGTCACTGAAGGGCCATACATCAGTCGGTATCCCTGTCGCTTGCACTTTAACAAGACATACGCACAGCGGCCCAGCTGGTGGACGGAGAGAGAGAAGAAGGGAGGGAGGGAGGGAATGTGGGAGAAACTGAGATGCTTCTCAAGAGGTAAATGGAATTATTCTAAAGAAATCTTATTGCAGTCATAATGAAAACAAAAACACAGACAGACATGATGGAAGCCAAAGCTCCATCCAAGCAGGCTCGCTGAATTCCAGTCACAAGCACAGGTGCATTTGAGTGTGCAGAAACAAAGGAGGACGGGAGACATTTCCAACAGACGTCCACCACCACCACGATCCGCCTCTCTACCTTCAGGGCGGTCTTGGCGTCCTCCTTCGTGCAGCCGTCCAGCTTGGTGACCCGGTACTCCAGCCACTGCTGCACCACCGCCCTGCTTTCCGCGGAGTCCCCCAGCAGCTCGGGGCGCTTGGCGTCTTTCGCCAGATGACAGGCGACCGTCACCAAGCCAACCAGGGGGGGACCATTGGCCCTCTGCAGCACAGGCACCTGCAGGGAGACGAGGGAGGATGGTGAGATGGAGATACGAAGGGAGTTCTCTTTTTATTTGATTGAAATGCAGACAGCAGCTGTGCCTGTGTTTGCTTATGTTGCTTTAGAGAACATGTTCCAAAACAGGGCAAAAATTGTACCCTTGCTATTTTGTTTGTTTGTCCCCCAGAGCCAGTTTAAAGATGGATGTGATTGTCCGCCTTCCCCTCGATAAAATTAATTGATGAAAAAGTTGATTATTTAGGTTGATACAAGTGATTATATGCAATACAACGTATTCACAATCTGTACGTTTCAATGAATTGTTCAGTGGAACCCCATAAAGCACATATATGCGTATTAGGCATGACGTCGCACTCCTGCCTCGCTTCGATTCAATGGACGCGCATGCGCACAGCACGGGACTATTTCCATTGTGCCGAGTAGTGGAAACAAGACAAGTGGCGACACATGTCGCTGCGTGGATCTGATGCTTCAGCCCAAACGAGGAAAAAGGTCACTGACTGAACTGATAACGAAGGGTTAATGTGACACGACGATGCCGGCTTATTCGACACACACGACTCGCTTGTTAGCATTGTTAGCTAGCTGCTGTGTCCTCATTACGGTAGTGATTGAGCCGCCTACGAGAATGAAACAGCGTTTTAAAGCCCGAAGAGGATGCCACAAAGAAGTATGGTCATGTCACCTTTTTCTCCCCCTGTGTACTGTATTTGTTCGGCTTTTTCAATCCTAAATATTTCTCCAGCGACGACAGCTCCCGTAGAGCCATGTTTCTGGCTGGCGAAGGGGCAGCGCAGCGTGCGTGTGAACCGATTGGGTCAAACTCTTGAGTCCCGCCCACTATGGTTTGAGTGATAGTTGTGTTAACCAATTAAACACAGCTTTCAAGTCTTTCCCCTACGTTGCATTAAGGAATGAGCCATCATCAAAATAATATATAAAGTCGAATAAAAAAACAGAATAATAAAAAAAATGAATGGGAAAATAAAGAGTAGGTAAACTATAGATATAATTTACCAACATTAAAAAAATTATAAATAATCTCTTTTAATATAAACATTGTATACAAAGGAACATTTACTTTAGTTCATCCTTACTGATGTTATCTGCTAGGCTGATTTGTGAGTATGTTTGACAAAATTTTAAAATAAACTTCAAATACTGATTTCTATTAATAACATACACAACCTCTCAGTGAAATATACTGTTATTGGATATTAGCGTATCCCAGCTTTTCATAAGGAGGCTAAACTGCTGGTGTGGAATAATCTGATCAAAGATGGGTATTACGCAATGCACCTGCAGAACTTCTACGTAATGGTTTGTGGTTCAACGAATCAAAATGACAGCGGAAGGTCTGGAGTTTCAGTCAGAAGTCCGGCAGCAAAGTTTCCCTGTCCTGTCCGTCTGTCTCTGCAGCGTGTCCTGCCTGTGACATTGTTTGTGTCCTGTCAGTTTGCATTTGCACAGGGCATCATGAAATGTCACCTGTCAGTCAAAATTGGGCTTATTAAGTATATGCTGCAAGTGTGTGTATGTGATAATATACTAGTGTGTGTGTGAGATACTGTACAGCGGAACAGCTGGGCAGAGGTGTCACAGCACAATCTTTGCATCCCGATCAGTCCTCCTTTGTTACAGCTCACCTGAATGACAAGGCCCAGGGTGATTGTCAGCCATTGCAGCAATACAAATCAAATTCATATTTCTTCACTGGACGTCATGCAGACAGCAATAAAATATAAAAAGCAGAGTCTAGGAGGGGTTTAAACCGCTGCGTACACCTGCAGTTTTCAAACTGCGTCATGTTAAAATATTTTCTATGTAAAAATGACGGGTGGCCAACAGCAAAAGTCATTTAGACATATTTATGGTACTTTTTTTTGTTTCTCCATGTTGTGCATAGTTAGATTGCTTTGACTACACAATGGACCAATGATGCTCTGGATTGCAGCTCAAGCGCTGTCATACTTTGGCATTTTAATAAATCGGGTTAATGACGAAAATAAATCTCACTGTGTATTTTAACGTAGTAAGATAATTATGACTAACTGCTCCATGATCTCGTCCTGCACAGCCGTGTAATGTTGAGTTTCAGGGGCCTCTTGGATCTCATTTGTGCTTCATGTGAACTATTTCCACCCATAAATCCACATCTTTCCCTTTCAACGTGTGGACTTAATATAAACGAACAGATGATATTTTTAAACCCAATTTGTTCAGAAAAAGCTGTCCGAGAAAACAAATTAATTATAAGAATGAGTACACAGACTATCACAAATGATTACATGCTACGAAACAAGGTAAGGCTAATTTCCTCTTTTTTTTTTTTTTTCTTCATCTAACCATTTTTCATCTGTTTGTTTACAGGCTCCGGCACGTCATACACTTTTACCCTAGTGGGGCTTCCATAAATGAATGCCTGCAGCGTTAAAGTGCGTCTCCTTTAACTAAATGCCTCCAAGCTGCCACATCCTGTCTGTTCTCAGGCGGGCTGAGGACAACGATCCCCAGTGCCCGGGCCTAACTGTAGCCTGTGGGAGTTTTCTCATACCGATTGTGATACACAATCTGGGGTCACATTAGCAAGGAAATCTACAATGGGGGGTGGGGGGGGGGGTCACCGTTTGTGCCGTGGGGCTTCCCAAGGCAGGCATAGCGATAAACAGCTTCAGCCCTGGTAGATGTATCCCCCCCCTACCCCCCCTCCTCTGCCCAGTCTGTAACTTACAATATGCCGTTACACTGATTTGTCTAGCTGGGATGCAGAGCCGCAGCCCCGCCTGTCTCCTCTGTTACCTTTCACCAACCTGTGAAAGCTCTCTGACTGGATACTGTATCCTAACCACACGGACGCTGGCAGAAGGAGAGCGGAGGGATTGGTTCTGAGTGGTCGACATGAACGCTGTCAGCACAGATTGGTGAAATTGCATATTGGTGCTAGGTCGGATTCCGAGCGTGGAGAGAACATGGGGACGGGCGCCAGGAGGCGGGGGTGACAGTTTGGGAGACGGCCGCGAGTTGTGAGATGAAGACAGACAGATGTTTGGGGGTCGGCGTGCTGCCCGTACCTTCCGCTCCTGTCAAGTTTTTTTTCCTCTTATTTGATCCTGTCCAAAGAGCTTGGTGCATATTTGAGTTTTTATGGTGCATAGACGGGGGCGGAATTACCTTTTATAATACTTTTAAAATAACAAATTCTTAAAGGGTTTGTTTTTAAATCACATGATGCTCCCTTGATTTGAATACTGAAAAAGAAGAAAAAAACTCTCTTCCACAACAAAACATCTGGTGTATTTAGTTTTTTTCTTTATTTTAATCAATACAGAATGTTAGAAAAAAGTAAAACAAACAAACGTTTTTGTTTGTCCCAATACCCAGAGAAATGGAGAACAGCAGGAAATCCTCATGTTGAACACATTTCTTTTTATCAAGTAATGCAGCACTCTTTTTTCCACCATATGAAAACCCTTCCCTTCCAAGCCGGGCCTACTGCGCAGTGACTTTCAGCCAGTGTAGCACACGTCTAGTGGTAGTCCACACAGTGTGTCTTTTGGCTCCGGAGCTTTTGGCTCTCGCAGCGGAGGAGAAGTCAGAGGATGCCAGAGATGTCGTACCTCCAGGCGGGACCTTTGGGCCTTTTGTGACGACAACAGTGAGGGGATTATAGGAACCACCCTGCTGCTCCATGCAGAAACAAGGCACCCAAAGGCTAAAAACAACATGCTGGTCCCCCAATTCATCACACACACACGCGCGCACACACACACACACATGCAAATGAGTGCATGTTGGAATATGTTTACATGGGGATGGAAGGGCCGGGTGAGCCAGTGACAGGAGTGGAATTATGACATTTTTGTGACATTTCATGTCCTTCCCTGAACATTTGTGACACGAGATTAGCATTGGAGGGCACGTTCTCCCGCGCGCATCTGCGTGTGTGTGTTTGTGTGTGTGTGCGTAGAAGTAGAGTGGTTGCGTCTGCGGCTGATCAGTAGACGCCCCCGAGATAAACGAACGTAGTAATAAAGGCAGTTTCTCCATTTCCTCCTCCTCTGCTTCCATGCCAACCCACACAGCTGTGGGACACGCTGGGGGACACAGTACCAGCTCACAGTAACAACAAACCCCGTCCCGGGCCTCCCATCCAGCAGCAGTCACTTAGGACTATTAATTACTGCTCTGAATTTCCTCCTCCGTACCCGTAGCCATCCGTGTCCCCCTCAGACAAACAACCTCCGTGGGAGGATCTTGATTATTATAGCATCTGAAAAGTCAGATTGTCCTTTATTGAAGTTGCCCACTGGCCATGCAGGTCTCTCTCTCTCTCGTACGCTCTCTCTCTCTCTCTCTAGCTCAGTGTCCCTCGTCAGTGATTCAGACCGAGCATCGGAGGGAGCGGTTGTGCCGGGGCTCTCGCCGTGGCCGGGAGGTTGATGAGGGAGACTCCCATGTTGTTGGAGGTCTGAACTCACGAGAGGTTGAAGCGTGCACCCGAGCACACTGCGAGGGGAAGGCTCCTCCGTGTGCATCTTCGGTACAGTTTTACTGTTTTGTCCTCCACCAGCAGGGAGCACTGTGGGTCTTTGAAAGATCACAACGTCCAGCTCTTCAGTTGCATCTAAACCAGGACTTGAACTTAGATGAGAGTGACTCACGGAAATCATGTATGGAACTTATAGCAGTTTTAAAACCCACTGTATCTAGTAAAAATAATGAAACTGTGTTTAGTTAGCAGACTATGAAGCATCTTTAACAGCACTTTTTCAAAATCAGAATAAAATTGGAAAGTAAAGAGTCAAATGTATGTGTTAACGTGTTCCACCCATGACCTCACATCTAGGCCGTGTTTAATCGGCTTCCACAATATCAGATGAGGAACAGTCGGGAGTTTAGTGTTTTGTTAAAGCGCAGTGCTCCGGGGCGCATTAATGACTTTTTCTCGCTGCATTTTCCAGAAGGTTAAAATGAAACTCTGTCTTTTTGATTGCAAACTTTGAAATGTTTAAGAATCACAGGGGAAACCTCCGCCCGGGTCTTAATCCTCCCACCCATCTGTCTTCATCTCTTTAACCCATTAGTTTGATTCACTACCTCTGGAGCGGGAAAGTGAAAGCTCAGTCCGCCACTTGTCTTTCCTATGACTGTGTCCACTATATCCCTTTCGCGTGGCACTTTATGGCCCACTGCAGAAGGATGGAAGGGGCGTGTGTGTGTGTGTGTGTGTGTGTGTGTGTGTGTGTGACTGAAAACGAGGAGGAATAGATATAGGGAGATTCAGAGGGTTATTTGTCCCTCTTCCCCTCTCTGAGAGCGAGGAATCATGGTCTGCATGACAGGTCGCCAGCCCCCGTCGGGGGTGATCTATATGAGACCCTCTTTATTGGCAATTTCAACCCAGGGACAGATGAGACTGCAGCCAGCCGGCCGGACAGCGAGACTATGATGAAAGCGCCCAGGACTCACCTGTGACTCTCGCACTGAAGGCTAGAGAAATAATGCATCAGAGGTTATATGTGGAGCTATGTGCGCTGTGTAGATGTTCCAACCGCGAGTGTGTGCGTGTGCGTGTGTGTGTGTGTGTGTGGGGGGTAGAAATAATGTATGGCCGCTGTCATGCCCAGAGGTCTCAGTTTAGTATGGAGAAAATCACTGAGCTGTGTTGCAGGGAGATTTGGATCGAGATGGTTTGGATACTTTACATATTGTTGGAGTGTAGGGTAAATAATTCACTCGGAGCAACAGTCAAGGATCTGTCTGTGACTTATTGCTTTTGGCCTTCTCGGGGTAACACGACTGTTGAACACGCGTATCC